TCCAGGATCATGACCTGAGCCGAAGGCAGTCGCTTAATCAACTGAGCCACCCAGGCGCCCCTCTTTACTTCATTTTAGGAGACCTGGCACATGTGGGACAATTCCTGGATTGCACATAGCCAATGAATCCAAAGTTCCTGTTCTCTCTCTCTCTTTTTTTTTTTGCAATTCCATCATTTCCGATGGCCTATCTAGCCCCGGTTAGTGCTAAGTTTATTATGTTTTTGTCTTCACACAGGAACAATCAATTAAGTGGAGAAAAATAAAGCTAGAGACCCCAAGTGTTCTCCTAGAAAAATGTCAGGTGTACTGTGCGCTTGCTGCCGCATTTGCACTCAGCTGATATTCCCTGAAAGGTGATGTGTGTTACAGACTTCAGAGAACGGTGCAGTTCACAGGTGAGAGTATTACCAGAGGCTTGGGAAACTCACTCTATCTGGCCTATTCAGCTCAATGCATATGGCTTCTGGGTCTCCTGGAACAGCCATCCTCCTAGATGCTTAGAGCCTGCACCATGCAATCCAGTGCTTAATTTCTTCCAGCCCTGTCTTAGTCTCTAAGTGTGTCTCCTACATAAATTTTCTTCTGTCCAAAGAGGTTTCTACAATATTTAAAAAGACAGACTAGGCAACTGATCTACGTGGAAGGCAGGTCAGTTACAGCAGGAGTTGAAAGCCTGGGCTGTGGAGGGGACAGTGAGTGGCAGGGAGAGAAGGCAAGAGGATGGATATAAGGGAGCCACAGACACAACACAAACTCCACACTTTTTTTTTTTTTTTAGAGCTTTTCCTGCCTTTGGGGGTAGGAGTCACGTTTTTTAGTTTCCATTTCTGTTGTCTCAGTGCTTACAAATGTCCTCAGGAAGTAACAGGAACCTAACTGGCTAACTTGACTTGATGCTTAAAGTCACTTCTATTAACACTGGCCTAATTAGAGCACTAGGGAAATGAAGGATATAAGAACCTGTGGGAGAATATTCACTGTGGAATCCTTGGTCTCATCTGGAGCCTGCTGTGTGATGCTGCTGCCCTCCAGCTCCCTCAATAAAGATCTTCAGGGGTGCCTGGGTGGCTGAGCTGGTGAAGCGACGGCCTTCGGCTCAGGTCATGATCCTGGAGTCCTAGGATCAAGTCCCGCATCGGGCTCCCTGCTCAGCGGTGAGCCTGCTTCTGCCTCTGACCCTCCCCCTTCTCGTGCTCATGCTCTCTCTCTCTCTCTCTCTCATTCTCTCTCTCAAATAACTAAATAAAATCTTTAAAAAAAAAAAAAAGATCTTCAATTAAGCCAAAGAGAGACTGTTCTCTGGGAGAATGCGACTTTATAATGGCCTTCAATGCTAAAATAGATGAACATTTACTGAAACTCCTTAATTTTTATAAGTGAAAGGTAACCAAACAAGAATTCCTGTTAATTATACTTATTTATGCATTTTAATTCATTTTGCTTTTTGATGCATTTTAATTTTGCAAAATTTTTAATTCAATAAGCATTTGTTGCATAGGTACTTATATAAAACAGCCATCTGCTAAGGTACTCTGGGATAAGTAAACAATAAGAGGTTCTATGGTCTTCCAGCAATGCAAAGTCCAGTGGGGGAACTGATCATAGTACACAGAATCCCAGCTCATGAATTATTGGGTGTGTGATCTTGCCTAAGTCACTTAATTTCTCTAAGCCTCCGTTTCTCCCTATGAAAAATGGCAAGAATAATAGTCCCTCCTTTGCAGGATTATTGTAAAAATTCAATGATATAAGTACAACTCCACATAATAAGCACTTAATAATTACCAGTTGTTATTGCTGGGATTTTTATTATCATATATATTGAGCATAGAGGCATGCGGATGTGTGGTTTAACATATACATATATGAATACATTTTAGATAGATGAATGCAATTCAATGAATGAAGACAAGATTTCCA